AATTATGACAACCATGTCCTGACCCAATTTTCTTTTGTATCATGTTATACCAATATGTATTCCACACATGGCTGGTATGCATGTTCTTCGTAGTATACTTGTAACTCCTAGTTGGTGTTTGCGCTTTGCTTTTGTTTTTTAAATTAACTGAGACCTACATTTTCAAATCTTAAGGAAATGTATCAGTGGCTTTTGAGCTACGGTTTTGAAAATGTAAATCTTTTTCTTTGGCCTTGTCTTTTTGTGCCTTTTACAGTTTTTCACACACACATTGGAGACATACATTTTTAGCCCAGTTTTGTCAAAGTCTGGTTACATATCGATGTGTATTTTAATGAACTGTCAATTTAAAATTGACCCAAGTGACCTTACTGACAGCATAGCTGCAGCATGAGATGTTAGTTTGTAAGGATAGGATGCTAGGAAGCAGGGAAACTGAGACAGAAAATTGAAGAAAGTAGGCCAGCAAGAAAGTGCATCAGAGAGAAGTGCAGGGAAAAGTGCCATGCCATTTGAAATGACAATTACATTGTCATTTTCATTGTGAATACTTTTAGGTTCTATATTGGCTGTGATCTTTGTACTAACTGGTATCATGGAGAATGTGTTGGCATCACAGAAAAGGAGGCTAAGAAAATGGATGTGTACATCTGTAATGATTGTAAACGGGCACAAGAGGGCAGCAGTGAGGAATTGTACTGTATCTGCAGAACACCTTATGATGAGTCACAGTGAGTTCTGATAAGAACCTCTTATTTAATGTTTAGGCAGCAAACTGCTCTGACTGTGGTTACCTGTTCCTTGCAAAGAAAAAAGAAGTTATTCTGCATATGTTGTATTCATTCGTAATACAAATTGCTTTTCAGTAATTGTCTTCCTCTCCAAAATGTTTCTATACAGTAAATGTTTAGGAAAAGTGAAGTTTCCAGGGTGGTCAAAATGTGTTGGGGTTTTTTTTTAAAAAAAAAAAAGACAAACCACATGTACTTTAAATTGGGATTGAATTTTTTTCTTTCTTTTTTTTAAAAAGGGGATGGTTAGAAAGATTAAAAGACAAATGTAGTATTTAGTGGATTTTTTTTGTGCTTTAATCTGATCTGGAGAGCAAGCATAATTTTAGTATGCGGGTATATGGTTGGTATCTTTTACTGTAAGGCTTTGTGTCATAGAATACCCCTTCTGTATTCGACTACAAGACTGAAGCTTCCATATGAAAAACGTTGCTACGGAGTGAAACAAGAACCCTAGTTGTAGTCCAGTTTGCGCAAAATGTATCTTGAATTGTTTTGGAATACTGGTTGGGTGAGACTTCTGGCATTACGCTGTTCCTTTCAACTCTAAAGCAGAGGAATGATTTTTGAAACCTTGATTGCTTGAAAGTGCCTAGTATAAAATTTAGGAACTAATTTTGAAATGGTCCATAATTTAGCCTGTTTGTAAATACAAAAGCAGTCTGAATAGTGTAATTAGAATTTGTCAGTCTGAAATATCACGTGTTACCCTGTTGTAATTAATCATGCCAAGTATCTGCTTGTGTGCAGGGGATTGCAGGTTTATGTGTTTAAATGTAACCTTTAAATTAAATCGATCAAGTCACTAACGTTTTTTTGGATCTTGCAGATTTTACATTGGCTGCGACCGATGTCAGAACTGGTATCACGGGCGTTGTGTTGGCATTTTACAAAGTGAGGCAGATCTCATTGATGAATATGTGTGTCCGCAATGTCAGTCCACAGAAGATGCCATGACTGTACTCAGTCCACTCACTGATAAAGATTATGAAGGTTTAAGAAGAGTACTACGTTCCTTACAGGTGAGAATAAGGGTTGCAGCAAAGTGGAGTGCTCTACTGTGTGGAACGTATCCAGTGAGTCTCGGAGTAGGTTTTGATTTCTCTTCTAGTAGTTTTGAGACTTTATAAAAAGGAAATGACAAAGCTTTTTTTTTGGTGAGAGATGCCACTGTGTCAGCTGTGAAGTTGATTGGCATTATTGTGCTGAGAAATATTTACAATAATTAGTGTATCTCTGCTTCTGAGTTAGTGAAACTAAACAATCTCTTCAGTGGAAGGCTTCTAAAGGAAGCAGGTTTACTTAGAATACCAAAAGGCAAAGTGTAGCCTAGCTGCACAGGATGTAGAAGGCGCAATGTTCTGTTCTCAGATTAGTTTTCTGTGACTTCTGATCTACGCTTCTGTACTTTAATCTCAGAGTTATTTAGATTTCAGTAGTGTTCTCACAGAAAGTCGTTACCAGCACGTAAATGATGGCATCCTGATAATGAGAATTACATGACTGTTACAGTGTATTTCTGGTTTATGTGTCACTCCCAGATGGGCCTTTTCTGCTACAACTGTAAAGAAGGTTTAAGAATTTTGGTAAAATAATTGTGTGGTAACAGAAATCCTCAAAGACTAATATTTTGCATTGTCCTATATTTTGCAGACATTTATGAAAACAAATTAATTTTAGAGGACTTGAAAGTGAAAACAGTGGCTGATTTCTAGGTGTGAAGTGCCAAGCACTCTCAGTCAATTCATTACGCACTTTTCTATGCAGCCTGTTTAGCACAGTATCCTCTTATGGCTGAATTTCATACCGTTCCCTGTTTTGAAGACCGACTACTCCGTCACTGCCATTGAGCTTTAAAACTTTACCCAGCCATCAGATGAGAACTAGTTACCTTTGCATATAATGCTGCACCACTGCCTTAAATTCAGCTCTAGAGCCCAACAGATAAAAGTCTAAAGAAAATATTTAGCTACTGAATAGTGCTAATTTAACTTAATTTTTTTTGTGACTGTATCTTGTTTTCCTGACAGGCCCACAAGATGGCATGGCCATTCCTAGAACCCGTAGATCCCAATGATGCACCAGATTATTATGGTGTTATTAAAGAACCAATGGGTAAGTGTTTCTGAGCAATAGCACGAGTGAGTGGATTTGGGGTTTTGAATATCAAATTAATTACCTGCTGACCATTTCCATCCAGGGATCTTAAAGATATGTTTTGCAGAATACACAGTTTTTGCAGTTAGGGAGACGAAACAATGTGATTTCTCATTGATATATTTAGAAGTTCATGAGAGTTAATATATCTGCTTCTGGGCTGACTCCTTAACACTAAATATTGTCGGTCTAATGTATAAAACGTGAAATTCAGGGTAGCAGTAGGATAGAATTCTTGGTTTTAAATTACTTTATTTTAAGAGGACGATTTTGCTATGTTTTGATTTGCTTGGGTTTTTTCCACCTTTGTGCATACCCCACTCCTACGAAATGTGGGGTGTGTACTCTCAAGTTTGAGGAAGAAGTGGTGCTAATACAGTTACGTGTGACATGCAACTTCAGATGGAGTTTAAAATTATCTTCATCTGACTCGATAGTACACTACATTTCGTATTATATGTAATTTGTCTTTAAAGCTGTAGGAACAAGAATTGTTTCAAATGTTGTGTCTGTGGGGGAAGGTGGAAGAGGAGATGCTGCAGCTTCCCAGTGGTTTACTCTGATCTTACTAGATCTTACCAGTTAGCTAGGAATAAGCTAGGTAAACCCTTGAATGTGAGACCTCTTGGGAAAATCTACCTCCTGCCAGAAATGGTGCTGCTAAATGTTACTCCTTTCCTTCCAGTTACTGACCCAATACTTTTTCATATGTCTAAATGAGAGCTAGTGTATCATTTGAGCTTTCCCACCTACTCCTTACTGATCCTAGAAATAGGAAAGTTAAATTTGGTGTCTTGGCAAGATTGTAGTATGTTGACTGAAAACAATATTTTGCTTAGAGATTGTGTCCTTTTCTGTTCCAAAGCTTTGAATCGTACCATTAAGAAAATGCTAAAACAACTCCTATTGCATAATTGATGGGTTAAAGTTTATAAGGAAAGTGCAAATAATAATACAATTAAGCATATGATGATTGAATGAAGTAAACAAAAGTGCATTTAGGCCTTTCTGACTTACCTAGCAGGAAAATACACTTGTAAGTATACAATATATGTAAAACACACTAGGTGATCCAGCCCCATCTACGTTTGTTTTCACACATTCTGGCATTATTGGCATTTCAAAATAAGCACTTTAAGGGCATTTTCCAAGGGCGGGTCATTGTTTTTCCAGCTGAAAGTGCCGCTATACATTTAGACAGCTATATTTATAATTACATATTTATAATTGGCAGTTCTCATTCCTCTCCCTCTTTCTAATTTACATTTGCATTAAAATAGGACAGTTACTGCTCTACTTCACCCTTCCGGTCTCATTAATGTGTCTAGTCGGTAAGAACGAGAGCATCTTGCATGATCCTGCACTTGAAATCTCTTTCGTCTGTGCCATGCGGTGATGTGCCTGTGCCCGTGAAAATTGGCAATTCATTCAAAGCAAGTCATGAATTCAAATAAAAAATAATCAGAAGGTTTAGCTAGCTGTTACATGTACACATACGACTCTTGGTCTCAGTGAGGGCTGTAAAGAAAATAAAGTACAAGTAACTGAATCCAGATTGTCTGACTTTTTTTTTTTTTTCCTTAATTTCTTCAGAAAAAGCTAATAGCTTCCTGCAAAGACCCAAGTTTTCCAAGGTCATTTTGATACTTGCATATTAATTTAGCTGTGCACAACATACTTAGGCATAAGTGTTTATTCTGAAGGAGACCCCCTGGTGTCACCACCTCACAGCCAGCACTCCTGGAAAAGCAGCTAACCTAGATAGGCTTTGTGTCCCACCACCTGACAGTGTGAACTTCTGCTGAGGATGAAAATGTCTCACTTTAATAATCTTTGGTTTCTTTAAAGACCTTGCCACCATGGAAGAAAGAATACTGAAACGTTACTACAAAAAGGTCACGGAGTTTGTGGCAGATATGACCAAAATTTTTGATAACTGTCGTTACTACAATCCAAGTGACTCCCCTTTTTACCAATGTGCAGAAGTTCTTGAATCATTCTTTGTACAGAAACTAAAAGGATTTAAGGCAAGCAGGTAAGCTAAAGTGTTCCTAATCACAGATGTTCTGTTGTCTCCTAAAATCTCCTTAATGCTTTTATAAGCTTACCTTGCATTCATACAGGGATCTGCCTCTCCGTGCACTTTCCTGGACAACTGCTTTTCTTTTAAAGGAGGGGGGGAAAAAAAACTGTTCTGTAATAGCCAGCTATCATTTTCCATCAAAATTAAGGCTTAAATGTGATTTTTGTGGAGGTTACTTTGTAACGTTTGTTCAAAATAAGTTGTTAGATGCAAATTTGGGCAGTATCAGAAATGTAGAAAATTGGAATGACGCTTTAAGTTTAAGTCATTGCTGCAGAAAACTTGAGAATCATTTCTGGTCAGGACAAATACTGTGTTGTTCTGAGAACTGATAATGTTCTACTGTGCACTAAATAGTTTTCAGATGCTAGAAGGAGACAATCCCTCCATGAAGCTTACAGTCCAATGAAAGACATTAAAATAATTTTTACTACCGTCTCTCATTTTTTTAATACCTCGCCATATTTGAAACGGAGGGAATAAGTAAGGTTTAAAGTAGGATATGGAAAACTAATCACAATTCAGAATTTACTGTTTAAAACCAAACTTTCTGGTTTAATGTTTTTCTGTAAAAGGATCATTGTAGAGTATTTCCCTAACATAGACATTCCTGAAAAAGAATATGCAACTCTGCTACAAATTTTTTGTTGCTTGCCAATTCTGTCTCGTAGCACGTACATGTGAGTAGTACGGCACTAGTCAAATTATAACGTGGTATTTTGTACAGCTGTTCCTAAAACCAGCTTACTCAAAACACTGATGGAGTATACAGATTTCTCCCGTAGCGCTGCTGTATTCCAACATAAGCCAACTGTAACCAAGTTACAAATGTTGGATGCCTTTCAGCGTTACTTGGAAATTGTATACGTATAGTAGTTAACTTGGTCCGTCAGACTGTAACAGTCAAAAGCGTAACAGGCTGCTCATCTAAGACACTCCTGCAGGATCATATCCATTCGTAATTAAATGGAAAGCTTCACTTTATATCCATTGTTGTGGAAGCTGCCCAATTTTCTGTACGCAATGAGAGTAGGATTGATAAGAAGGGATGAGATAAAAATGAATTAGCCCAGCATTTTTCTTTCCAGTTTAATATTGTATGAAAGATTTTTATCAGGTCGTTTTCAACTCATGTTTCTCTCATCTTGCTTTAGCTGGTTATCCAGCATTCACTGCTTGCACACTGATTTCATTGCTGCATCTTTATTTTGTTACTGTTTTTCATTTATACCATCCATGTTCTTTCTTTTCTTGCAGATTGTGATATCTTTAGTCTGAACTTTTTAACTGGAATCAGAACTGGATGTTGGGGTCACTTTCTTTTATTGTACAATTCGATGACATTAAACTGCCCTAAAAATCCAGATCATTTGTCTAAAAAGTAAATGTTGTTGGGTTTTTGGTTTTTGTTACCAGCAGTCATGCTGGTAAACGTAAGTGTATTAACAAAAAAAATGGTCCCATTCCTCAAATACTGTATTGAGAAAAAAAAGAAATCATCTTGGAAACCATGTATTTTATTGTTTTATTTTCAGTCACTAATAAAACTGTGAATGTCAAAGAAGAGTTTTGCTGAACTCTGATTAGCAAAAATGTTATTTTAACGTGCCTGTTCAGTTTTTTCTATTAAGTTAATCCAAAGACTTCCAGAATAAATTTAAGCAAAGTATACCTTATTATGAATAGTCACAATTAAAAATGCCTTTTTGCTTTTCTTTTGATGGACTACTACTATGTAAATATGAGAGTAAAACTGATTTCAGGCATTCTGGAATATTCCAGTGACACACTGCATTTTACAAGTACTGAAATATTGGTATCCTGTAGGAGAAAATGTGCTTAAAACTCAGAATTATTTTAAGGGTTCTTTTTTTCTGAAGGGGGAAAAAAAATAAATGGAAGTAACATGGTGGTAGTTCCCTCATTGTGATTTACCCTTGGCAACACCTTGCAGCAACTGTGTTCTCCAAAATGAAGGGTGCTTAATTCTTCGCTTTCTTCTGTATTCTGCAGGTCCCATAACAACAAACTGCAGTCTACAGCTTCTTAGAGTTCAGCGTGTTAACCTAACACACGAGCAAGAATCTGGTTGTCTGAAAATTTTTAATTAAGAAGCCAGATGTTTTTAGTCAGGTTATCCTGACAAGACTTGATGTAAACTGCGTTTTTATTGGTCACAACAGTCAAATTATATTCTTGGCTTATTTTGTCCAAAGGACAAAGAAATAAAAATCAGCAGCACCACTTTCTTGTCAAGATCAAATTGTTGTACTATTGTGGCAGAAGCAGGAAAACTTTGTTTTGTTGAAGGAGAGAGAGAAAGAGAGCAAGAAAAAAGATACAGTAAATGGGGTCACGTTTAACTCCATGGAAATGCCACGTCTGTTCTTCAGTGAAGAAGCTGGTTTAAAGTCCACACAGAAAACTTTGACTGTATTTATTTATTGTTGCAAAAAAGACGCTTTTTTATTGCTGCCCTCATTTGTCAGCTAATTATTTTTTCTTATAAAATCCAGCCCCGGTTACATGTAATCCATTCTGTATCTTAACATGATTCCTGTAGGTAAAAGTACAAGAAGACCTCTAGATGTCTTTTCTTTCTATGAAAGGAGCTGCTATGTACACATGTGCACACACACAGAACTGGGAATCAACAATGAGTTTATCATTCATGGTAGATAAAAACAATTAAGCTTGCATAAAATTTGGGCTAAGCGGTCATGGACTACAGACTCTGTTGCCTTGAATATAACAGTACCATTTGTCATTTACTCTGCACCAGACTGAAATGAGTAAAATCTATTTGAAGGTATCTTGTTTGTAAACATTTGTCAGATTCTAATTTTTTTCTTTTGTATTAAAATTCGAAATATGGATGTATATGAAACAAAATAAATGGAGATAATTGTTCTCCCCACAGATGTAGGTGTCTTTTGAGTGTGCGCTAATACGTTTGTAACGCTTTGGGGGTCTGTCAGGTATTTCCAGTAACGGGAGGGAAGCGGCCAAGGAGATCTGACTTTATTTTGCTCCAAAGGGAGCGTTTACTGCGTTTCCTTCTTAAGCAGCTGTTAGCCCTTTATAACATTTCTACGGTGGTGCCAAAATTACTGTAACAGATAACATGGTAGGAAGTATTTTGTGAAATGTCACTGCCCGCCGCTGAATTAAGTGCTGTTTTGCCAAGTACTCTAGGAATGTAAAGTACCGAGTGTCAGTGTGTCTTTGGAAGGCGTTCTGGACTGCTGCCGTGCCCCTGTGTGAGGAGCGCTACTGTGAGGGATAAATCGAAGTCACGAGAAGATGCAAACGGCAGATGACGTTGCTGTTTCTTTCCCATCTATCACTTTGACGCTGCATGTATCAGTGACTCGCTCCTATTACCTGTCCGTAGTTAATCAGCCATGGTTTGTATGCGGCTCTTCAACCGTTTGACGAGCTTTTGCACTAATTCACGGTTACCTTCTGGTCTACAGTGATCTGGGATTTACCTGATTTATGGATAAGTTCCTTTTGGGTTTAACCTCACACCTTGCTATGCAAGAACCTCTTCTGTTATTTTTCTTAAAAAGATGTTGCTACTGACCACACTTTCTTACACTTACAGGCTCAGGTGTACAGGTTCTTCTGGGATAATTTTATCTAATAAAAACCCGTGGGTTTTTTGTACATACAAATGTTGTCATTTAACCTATATGTGAAAATTAAAAATGATTGTTCAGTGTGAAAATGATAATCCATTTATGCTTCTTAAAGTTAAAGAAGAGTAGTTGCATTTAGGTTATGTTGTCCTTTGACGTTTAAAAAAAAAATGCTGCATATTGTATGCATTGTGTTTTTAATGCAAAAAGGAAAAAACTCAACTTTTAACAGCGTTTGAACATATCCTGCATCTCATCAAAACTTCACGGTATTTCTGTACTATTTATTCATATATAAATATATATATGACATCATTTAAAACTTTCCTACCTGTAGGCAATAGATTGCTATGTTTTTAACAAATTGTGGCAAACTGAAGAGTACTTTTTTGTACCTTACAGGACACGTCATCCTAGACAAATAAAGTGATGTGTTTGACATTGATTTGGTGGTGTTTCTAATGAAACATTTGACAGCGTTATCCTATATAGGTCTTGGCTTTGCCAGATTATATATAATTGCCAGTGACTCAGGTTGATTAAGGAAATGATCCATACGTGCAATTTAATCTTGCTGAGAGCCTCTTTTAGTGTTTTCAGTTGCCATTGAGTAGGTTGAGGTACTCTTCTCGATTTATTCATGGTGATCTTTTATAGTTAAATGGTGTTACTGAAAATACATCGCTCGTAATTAATACCTGCCTTCCTTAAAAGCATGGTAAGTTCATAAGATCTGTGATCTCTGTTCGGTCCTCCTCCTCTTTGTATTTTAACAAATTATTGCAACATTTGTTTCAAAATGGTCATACATTGTAACACAGATTTTGATAACGTGCGCTATACCAGCTTGATTTTCTTTTTGTCTCCTTGAACAAATTTGAAGCAATTATCCTTGGTCTCGATTTAGTTCATGCAAAAGTTAATGGGGATTTAAAGCAGAATAACAAGTTGGGCTTACCCAGAAGCCTTGAGTAAACCCCTGGAAAGACAAGAATACAACAATATTCCTGTAATCCTGGGTTTCTATGTATTGGCTGCGGAATTTTCATGCTTATCCTGCTGGGGAAAAAATGATTAACTGTAAGGTATCAAAATTACCATGGCTGCTAGTGCATGCAAGTGCCACCTTCTTTTCAGTGTGGTTAATGCTGTGAGGTTTTTGTAACAGTGAGTGCGAGATTGTGGAAATCCACTTGATCCTAGGAGTTCTTGGTTTTCTTCAGTACATTCGTCAGCCTGTGGTAAGCCTGGTAAAAAGTAACACCAGCAGTTCCGCTCCTGCTCCAGCTGTATTTCGGTTGGGCTGTGAAATACAGTGGCTCGTTGCTTGGCTCTTGCAATAACATTTTTAAAGAGCGACCCTCCAAGCAAGAAAGGAAAGGTAAGATGACTTTGCAACGCAAAAAGAGAACATAAAATAAATTGCTCTTCAGGCTTGCTTCTAGAGCAATAGCTGTATCTGAGAGCGTGGCGCAGACGTTGCGTGTCAGTTACTGGCATTTTACTCAGGCTTTGGATGTCATTAGCATTGGTATACTATTATTTATCTCTTCCGAGAGGCAGTCAAAATGAGATGCATAGCCACAGATACTATTTTTGTACCCACGCTTTGCCTGTTTTAGGTTACGATAATGTCTCAGGGGTGGGGAAGGGTGCTTAATTGCTGTTCTGGGCAAATGGATGACTGTAGGACTTGCTGGTTAGTCCCTGGACTTCAGTTGAAAATAGAAACAAAGAAACTCGAGATGCACATGTAGCCCTTCCTCCTTCCTTCTCCTGTCCCTCCCAGTCCACTCTGGTGCTTTGATTCATTGCCAGGAGCAGTCGTTGTGCCAAATCAAAAGCCCCCTCAAAGTCTCTAGGGAAAATTCCATCTATGTATGCTGTGCTCCTTGCGAAATCTTTCACGTAACAAAAGCGAGAGTGTATTTTTTTAGGTAGACACAAGCTAAGAGTAAATTTCTGTCCTGTAGTAACAGCCTTCTGGGTCCCAAAATGTATGATGTTTGCTCTTGGTATTTGGCTCCTGTTCCATATCAACAAATACTTCGCACGGTGCAACTCCACAGCCCATCCACTACTCCGAAGCTTTTCAGTGACGCTAAATCAAGCTGCAGACGTGTACGACGGGCAGAATCGCATTAGAACTACCTGTGCTTCAAAACAGAAAATGCTTATAGAAGTCACTGCTTTTTGTTCCAGGTCACATCATATATATCACTGTATATACGTATTTTAAGCTAGAGTGCTTTTTCCCATTTTTTTTTAATGTAAAAATATATTCTAAAATCCCAAGCCCACTTGCCAAATGAGGAGATGCCATTGTTTAATATCATTACATAATCTTTTTGGATCTTTCAGAACCCAGGAAATGGTGAACCCAGAACCCGATGAACATTTTATTAGCTTCTTTTAAAGACTTAACGATCTGTGAATACTGACTCTTGGAACAGCCAACATTAAGATCCCGTTTGCAGAGCTTTCATAGGTTCTTACATCCCACTGCATGAAAGGTACTAAAAGATTGTCTTTGATTGTAAAAATAACTTTACTGATGTGCACGTACAAACCTGGTAATATTTCTCATGGGAAAATGACATAGGGTACACAGTTCTAGGGCTGAGCTTTTAAGGAACGGGCAGCATAACCGGGCATACAAAATGTGCGTGCAATTGCATGCTTATTTTGCGTTCCTTGGCATGAACTTGTGCTGTTATTTGTAAGCCTAATTGGGCATTCGTGTTGTGCAGTTACTTGCTTTGCTTTCAGTTAGCGTATTCACATACTCAAATAATTACACAGCTGTTTTGTATGCTTCATGTGAAAATCCAGCTCCATTTGAAGAATGATGTAATTTTTAGAAGTAGTGTGGACATGTTTGAGGATACCAAAACGATACATGATACTAGTTTTGTTGGTTACTTTTGAGTCAAACGCATGTACTACTCTACGCAGAATTGTGTGAAAACACAATGCACGTCCTCTGTAGGTAAAGCCGCGGTATCACCTAACATTGGTTCAGGGTTTGAAAGCGCGGTTACTTCTTGCGTACCTAGAACGATGCCTCCGGAGTTTTAACTTTACGATTGCTACAGATTATTATGGGTACGTTACAGCAGGGGAGGCAACAATAATCCGTGGCTCTGAAAACAGCTGCAGCAAATTGAGGACCAGTTAATGTTCCCTAGGCTGACTTTTGTACTAAACTTCACAACGCGTAGGTACCTAGTCAAAACATTCAGTGTCTGCTAAAGCACAAAAACAAGCGTCCTATCGCAGCCAGTTTCAGAGGTGAGGAGAACTACTCCCACTCTTGCTAAACCACGGCCAGGTTTATTCTGGTAAGCGAATTCTGCTGCTGCCCGTGTCCTACACAGAGGTTACCGGAGCCTTATCTACACTTGGTGTGAGCCGCTTGCACTTTGCGATTCCTCTTCCTGTTGAATCTCTTCACGTAGCTGCTGCTGCTTCGAAGCAAGCCATCCCCCGGCCTCAGGCGCCCTCGCAGGAACTGCAGCAGGTCTGCAGGGATCTGTCGTCTCTTGTGGTAGATCCGACCCATCACAATGTATCTGCTGCCTGCAAAATAAACGAGACTTCGGTGCTACGAAGGAGGCGTGGATTCATTCACTGCGTTCGCTCTAAGGGCAACGGATTTATGAACAGACGTGAAGTTGTACCGTATAGAAATCCTGAACGTGTGGCTTAGCACAGCGGCACCCGAACTTCGTTGGGACTTTGTGGGTTGTGCTTGCAGGGAAATAATGATTTACTGTCTTGTAATGGAATTAGAAGCTTTTTGGGGGAAATACTGGTATTTGATAAACTTGCGTTTAGAAGGAAAACCGGACTACTTACAAAGGCATCAGCTTAAGCTCCTGCTTAAATTTTTTTTGCAATCCTGAAAACTCTTGCAATCATTTTGGAACTGGCTAAAATTAAGAAAGGATTGCGCTGCTACCTGACTTCTTCGTGCAGTTGGTTCACTCCTGAAAATTTAGAGAAACTGGGAGGGAAAAAGCCCTCCAGTGTAACAGTAAATACTTTTTTTCTTTTTTTCTTTTTCCCCCCCCAAAAAATACCCCAACAACCCAGGATGAGCCTATTAAACTAGGGCAGACTAAAATTGTACTGCATGCAGGAGAAATAGTGGAATGGACTTAGGTGGAATTACTTACCAAGTTTAAAGTCTGGACACGGTTTACTGCAGTTTAAAGTATCCACAACTAGAATATGAACTCGGAAGAAGAAGCCATCAGGAGTAATATACAGGCGACTCATCTTGTATAATCCATCGCTGTTTACCAAAAGCGTAATCAAGTGGACTCCATTCCCCAGCCTTTCCATGTTATACACAATTCCGTTCACTGCTGTTTTAAGGGAGGGAGGGGAAAAAAGCAAGCATCAGATTACAGATCTTGGTGGCAACTCAGGGTATGTGTGAAGGCTCTCATTTAAAATGCTGCAAAGAAAGTGTTGGCAGAAATTCTTTGGCTGAGTAGTGGGCAGTCTTGAAAGCAGGAGCTGCTTCAAATAATCACGGTTGATAAGGTCATCACCTTAGTTTTTGCTGAGTTACTAACCTTGCGCTCTACAGGTCTGAGATGTTTCTTAGTGAAGTTTATAAAATGTTTCAAAAGAAAGTGATGGTTTAGTACTGTTTTCCATCCTGATATACAAAAAAATTGACATATTTACCAAACAAAGTAAAATTTTCAAATTTAAAACTTCACAACGAAGCCCAAAGCTAACCTGCTAATGAAATGCTTCAGCTTTTGAAAGAAAAGGCCCTTGTCATAGAAAGGGGCAAGGGCACCAAGTAGGCCATGTTCTGTGCTCAGACAATCACTTCATGCTGTCCGCCCAGTTTCGGGTTTTGACAAGTGCTGAGCTGACTACAGGAATCGGAAAACAAGAAACGTGTTAGGCAGGTAAGGCAAACAGGACTTCTGCAACTGGCGTTGCACCTGCCTCACTGAGTGAGAACTTGGATTCAGTCATTTATGCTTTAGTCTGCACTGGAAATGGAAAGATAAGAAAAGCGCTCTCTGATCGCTGCAATGGAACCCTGGCTGATGTGTTGCTCAGACTGTCTTTTTCCTACCTGTCTTTTTCAGTTTGAGACATGAATGAGACCGCTATTTGTTAAAGGCTGAAATACGCAAAGGTCAGGTCGCTATAAGGCTTGTGTTTGCCAGGAATGCATGAGAGTGGTAAAAAATAAAGAATATAGCATTTGTAGAAAGCACTTCCTGACTTCTCCATTTAGAGAAAACAGATGTCTCGTAACGTGTTTATATTCTACAAATGGAAACATCTGTTACCACTAGGCATGTATTTTCCTTATCTCTTAAAATACTGTGAGAAAAAGTTGGTATCTGTTTCACAACTTCGTAAGCACAAGGCAAGATTTCAATTGGAAAACGCTTGCTCTTAAACAGTCAGTACAAACATGCCAGGCTATTTTCTACCGTCTTCAGCTGCGTCAACTTGGACACAAGGCCTAAAGACATCGAGTCCTAAGGACTTCAAGGAGAATCCTCTATACAGAGAGAATCACAGGTTTATATTTCTCCGGTTCTCCATTTTACTTCCATTTGATACTTTAGCCCCCAAAATCACAAACTCGCTCTAAATAGTAAGAGGTAAGTAACACAGCTACAAGGTTTAATCTTAGAGTATCTAGAACAATTGGTCTTTTCAGTTCCATTGACCAGCAGCAAGGACATTGTCTTCGTCCCAGGAGTGAAAAGTAGAGGAAGCAGAAAAAGAGCAGTACTAGC